ATGCTTGGAGTTCTTGTTGTAGAGCATGATCTCTCTAGCCAGCTGAGGGACATAGTGACCGGCGTAGCTCTCTCCGGCGAGGTAGACTTCCCGGTTCTTGTACCGAGGGAAACGGTCCATCCACCGGACCAGGAACTCTAGTGAGTCCTTGGCTGAACCAAAACATAAAAGAAAAAAAAAATCAATCACCAATCATGGTTTGTTGATGAAACAGAGTACAGAGCACCATTAACGGAGTTTTTAGTCATTGTTTACCAGTGCGAATGTCGCCGGTGTCGAGCAAATCGGAGGATCGGTTGGAGTAGGAGAAGCCAACGCCGGCAGGGGATTCGAGGAAGAGCAAGTTGGCGACGGTGTTCCATGAGAACTTGTTGAGGTATAAACCCGAAGCAGTCCTGTTGATCCTGAAGGGGCCAACTTCCTCCGATGCGCCATACGCCACCGATGAGCAACCTGGACCTGATCGTCATTTACCAAAAACAGGCAGCAAATTAGAAACCATGACAGTGGAATTAGAGGTTTAGTCTTGCCCTTGTCATTATTGTACTACAATTTCGGCAAACGGGGCCAGAGGCAGAGGGTGCGTATTTATTAATTTGGTACAGGCAAATTGGTCCCATTCATAAGTTAGGAAAGTTGACTAAAGGTATTGGTTGGTTGGGGAAGAAGGGCAGGGAATTCAATTATGTTTTTTTGTGTGTGCGTTAACTGGTCAATTCGGTTCATTACTGGAAATTAATGAGAGGTCAAAAGGTAAACTGGAGGGGGGAATTATTGAGTAGAATATAGCTAGAAGCCTAGAACTAGAAGCAAACAAAAAAGTTAATGATGGGAAATAACACAGACAGACAATAGCAGTGATAGGTTGTTTTAAATTAAGCGGCACTCTCAAGAAAGTTATAGACGTATGCGCCGCTCGAATTCCCCATTCATAAAAGAATGGAAGAAAAAAAAAACCAAGGCATTGATGATGCGGCCGAAAATGCTGACAAGATGTGGCCTAAGCTAAGTTAAGCCTTCAGGCAGGGTAGTGGGTACTGTGTGACTGTGTGGCCTTCTGTTCCCATCAAGTTGTCAACCCGCGGGTCGACCCACTTTGACTCTAATCCGGTGAGAAAAATGGGCCGCACGCACCCGTTGGGCCGACCGCTACAAGGTACCAGGTTGGAGGTCAAATTGTGTCACTTTTTCATTGATTTGCGAAATGCGCCTATTTTCCGGTTTTTCTTTTCGCCTAGCTCAATTTTTGGAATGCTAAGTTGAACATTTGAATATTTATGTTATATGAGTGCGTGTGAATTTTCACTATATGTTGGATCTATATACGATATGTTATTTTGGTGTAGTATTATATGTTATAACTCATATGTTAGATAAGATTTGATATAATTTATGAGGATAAGTACAATATAATGACTTTTTTCATATTTCCGGGCCAAACCGGGCTTAAAGGGTTGACCCATTAACCTTTAACCCACTAGTTCGATCGGGTCTGGGTCAACCCGCGGGTTGACAACCTTGTTCCCATAGTGATGACCTAATCGTAATAATAATGAGAGAGAAGAGAGAGAGATAGAGTGGCCTTCTGGTCCCTATCTACTTTGCTTCCAATTTACTCCATGCCAGCAGAAAAATGGATGAGAAAGAGGGTAGAAAACCAGCCATACGTGATGATGATGATGACAATGGTCAATGGTGGCAGCATGGCCATATATCTATTCGAGTTAACCCACAAGAAGTTAAAAAAAAAACAAGAAAGAAGTGGCTAGTTAGCAGGGAAGTGATGAAGTGGTTGGGTCATGATTTTGTTGATGAGCCCAACCAATGGTGGCAGTGATTGAGCTGAGTGAGTGACACACCACCATTCATGTGCCCTGCCTGCCCATGCCCCTCCCCTGATTTATGATATCACCACCCACTCCCACCCCTCTCTCTCTCTCTCTCTCTCTCTCTCTAATTAACGCAACAAAGAGGTTATTAGCAGTTACGGTTACATCTTTTCACATTGATAATATGATGAGAGAAGCTAATTAATGAGCAAGGTGAATGATCATCATTTTCTCAAAACAGTTTCATAATGCATATGCATGCTTTGGTGAGTTCCACATTCTGAAACAGTTTCATGGGAAGAGGTAAAATAAAGCACATATATGGAGGGTTTTGATAAGTTGAGAGGTTATTACCTCCATTGAGCCAGAGGAGCAGAGGGTCGGAGAGGGCGTGGGAGGAAGACGATTCAGTGAGCCAGTAGAAGAGGGCTCGCCCGGCTGCTTTGTCGACGGTCACGTAGCCGGAGTACTGCTGGAACTTCACCTCCGGCTGCCCTGGCAGCGACCTTATCCTGTCCCTTTCCGCTTCTCCTCCTTCTTTCGCTCCATGATGATGATGATTTGCATGATGATGACTGCAGCTAACCGAACCCACGAGCAGCACCAGCAGCAGCGCTGCAGCAGGACATATGATGATTCGCCCTTGCAGCTTCTCTCTTGCCATGCTTAGATAGCTAGAAGAAGAAGGAGATGGAGATGGAGAAGAAGGAGAAGTCGATCGCTTGACTTTCTCCAACTCTCCTTTGAGAGAGTGAGTAATGTGGGGAGGACGGGTGGGGATTGGCTTGGCTTTGGGAGGCGTTATTTCAGAAACGCCATAAATAGAGAGAGAGAGGGGAGAGATTGAATGTCATCAACCACTCCGCCCCTTGGGATAGTACTCGAGTTTTCTGGGCAGTTGGGACCCTCTTCCGGTCTAATTGATTACAACATGTATCAATTCTATGCACCAATTAATGGATAAACTCCATCATTTCATAACATAAACGCTACTACTACCAATGCATCCATAATTGATGTTGGTAGGGTTGCAAGTTTGATATCGGTAATTCTGAGATATAAATCGTGAATGTTAATTAGGTTGATGATTCTATAAAAAGAAGAAGAAATTAGGTTGATGAAAAGCCAACTTCAACCTAGAAAATTAGCTTTGTCTCTTCCTCTCTTTCTTTGACGCTTGACTTAATTCATCTTCGTCTTATTATCAGTTTATTATCATTTTTTTTGTGTCATAGTTATATCGAGGGAGAAGCAGCAAAAATACGACAAAATATAAGGTTTCTTAAGACCATGCTAGGAAAATTAAATAAATAAAATATGATAGTCGACAAGTGTCTGCACCATCGCTCCAAGGGCTTGTTTTGCCACGATATGAGCAGCCTTATTATACCTACGGGAAGCAAAATGGAACGTTGCACGAAGGAAAGAAGCCCACAACACCTGAATCTCTTGCAGGAGAGCTCCGCCCACCGCGTGCGATGAGTCCTTCGCTTTGATCATCCGGACGATCACCTGCGCATCCTCACAAAACAAAACATAAGTGAACGAGTGAGCCAGACACCAACGTAAAGAGTCGCGAAGGGCAAGGAGCTCTGCGAGGAATGAGTCATCAATATTAGGAATAAAACGCCCCCAAGTAAATATAGTGGTATTAGCCTCTGCAAAACCAACAAAACCAGTGGCACATCCGACCAAAGATTTGGTGGCGCCATCAAAGTGTATGCGAAATACAAAAAGTACATTTGCATTAATTCCTCAACCATTAAGGATTAGGTATGTCAATTTGAACCCACCCTACCCGCGATGGGGCGGGTAGTACCCTACCCGAAGTAGCGTGAGACGAGGCATAAGCATCTACTTCCGCCCCACCCAGCTCCGCACCATTCTTGATCCATTATATCTCAATTTCTTACCGTATCTATTCCTATTTCCCCAATTTTGACATTTTTTCCAACTAGGTATACTTGATTTTCCAACTAATTGGACTAAATTACCCATTCTATTATAACTATATTTCATCCATAAAGTGTTTTCTTTTGTTTTATAATAAAAAGTAAAATTTTGCATTTTTTCCCAAATAATATGTAACAGTGGGTCGAGCGCGAGCCGCCCCACCCCACTCCGTACCCGAGCAAGTATTATCCACCCTGACTCGCAGTAGCATGGGACAGGACATGAGTATTGAGGTATCCGTCTCGCCCCACCCCATTCCCATCACTATTAATGATGTAATAAGTGCCTAGTTTGGTATTTGAACTATACTTAATTAAGTGCTTTTATTCTTGATGATATGTAAGTGCCATTGTGAGATTTATTTTGAGTCATAATATCAAACTTACATTTCAATGATGTGGTATTATGTGGTATATTAAGAACTTTGATGTTATATTGTTGACATGTAGTGCCATTTTGAGATTTTGAGCCTTGGTATTATGGGAGATGCACTCTAGTGCAACAACAATGAAGATGCAGGGTGATCGAAGGTCAAGTCCGGCAATTATTCGACTCGTGAGAGTCATCATTATTTCCTTCTAAATTGCGGATAATGGTTATATAAGGGTTGAGTTGTAAGTTTTGATGAGGAAAAAAGAGAACAAAACTGAGATGATGTTTTAGTCATTCAATTTGAATTTCGATGAGGTACACACTGATTGATTGCGTGAAGTCTAGCCAATTGTGGATAGAATCGCCTAGAGGTGGCAAATGGATTGGATTGGTGGATCCATGGATCAAATGGATTGGATCTAATGGATTGGATCAAGTGGATTGGTGGATTATCCATGAATCCAAATGACATCCTCAACCAGGACCAATATGTAAAATGTAAAAAGTTTAGGTACTAAAATGTCACAACAAAAAATTTAGGTACCAAAACGTAATATTCCAATGATATTTTTCGTATAAAAAATTAAATTTTAGGTACCAAAATGTAAAAAATAATAATTATAGGTACTAAACCGTAATTTGCCAATGATCCATGGATCCAATCCATAAATCCACCAATCCAATTGGATTTGGATCAAATGGATTGGATTTAAATGGATTGGATTAGGTGTATATTTTTAATGGATTGATTGATTGGATTGGTGGATTGGATTGAAATTGCCACCTCAATCGCCTATTTAGGACATCAAATTTGGTGCCAGAGCTTAATGGGAAATTTATTTTTCAAGGGACTTTATTAGGTAAAACCATAAAATTCAAAGGTCGAAATGAATAACTAAAATTGTTCAGGGGATTAAATGGGATATGGCGTAAAATGAAAATTAGGGCTGAAGAAGATCAGTACATTCGGTAGTCCAATAAAACCTCAAAACCAATTCCTTTCCCCGCCGGCTCCTTATCTTGGCGCCGGAGTTGCTGTCCATCTCACCGTTCGTTGGCCTCTCTCTTCCTCCTCTCTATCTGGTTTCTTGCCAATCTGGCAGCGGCGGAAGCTTTCAGTTTGTAGCTCTGCTGTTTCGGATGCATCAATGTTAAGTCCGGTTCAGCTCCAGTGAACTGATAATCGAGTCTGGAGCCTCTGCACAGACTAGCTTTTTCTTAAATGGAAAATGTGATGATGGGGCGCCATTTTCTGGGTTGTTCTTCGATCTGGCAATCAATTTATAGAATGAAAATTGTCCGAGCGTTGGAATAGCGTTTCCTTCGGTTTGAGGTATAAGGAAATCCTGAATCCCTAGCCGAGAAAGAAAGAATCATGAACAACAGTGAGAAGAAGCGGATGAATGGTGAAGCAGAAGAAGAGAATGAAGAAGATGTTGAAGATGAAGGGCGTGATGCGTGGGAGAGGACATACACAGACGAGAGATCATGGGAGGCATTGGAAGAGGACGAGTCAGGACTGCTTCAACCTATTGATAACAAGGCAATCTACCATTCTCAGTATCGTAGACGCCTTCAGTCTCTTTCAGCCGCGTCCGCTGCATCGAGGATCCAAAAGGGGCTCATTCGGTTTCTCTGCGTCGTGGTCGATCTTTCCAAGGTATTATTGATTTAGATTCGATATAGGGTTATAGCTGATGGTGTAATGACTTCTGAGGTGATCAATACGTGGCTCTCATTTGACCTGTCCCTCCAAGATAAAGTCTTGCAAGTCCAACACTAGAACCTTACTTTTAGCAGTATGTAGTTGAAGTCAGTGTTGATAATCTGTATAACCTATTGCGATATGCTTGCTGGTTTCTTGAATTTTAGAATGTGTGCTGATTGGTTATTACCTTGATTTTTGTTATTAGCCTCTAGTTATTCTCAGTCTTCAGTGGAACTTGTACATCAGAAGTTATGAATGAAAGATTCTAAGCGATTTGGTTGTTAGCTTGATTTTGAAGTGTTGATGTCAATTTCGGCAGGCAGCCGGAGAGATGGATTTCAAACCAAGTCGGATGGCTGTGATTGCAAAACATGTTGAGGCTTTCATTAGGGAGTTTTTCGACCAGAACCCACTAAGTCAGATTGGTCTGGTGATTATAAAAGATGGGGTAGCTCAATCTTTGACAGAACTTGGTGGGAGTCCCGAGGCCCATATTAAGGCCTTGATGGTTAAGTTAGGTTGTTCAGGGGACTCGTCACTCCAGAATGCTCTTGAACTTGTCCATGACACTCTCCATAAAATCCCATCATATGGTCACCGTGAAGTTCTCATCTTGTATTCTGCACTCTCAACCTGTGATCCGGGTGATATAATGGAGACTATCCAGAAATGCAAGAAGGCTAAACTAAGGTGCTCGGTTATTGGCCTCTCTGCCGAAATGTTTGTGTGCAAACATCTTTGCCAGGAAACTGGTGGGTCATATATGGTTGCCTTGGATGAGGTTAGTTTGATTATCTAATGCCCCCGCAGAATTTACTTGAACTGTTTGATTTCCTTAATTATATGCAAAAATTATATAATCATGTAATTATCATTAAAAAGTCTGTCTGGAGCCCGTTCATTGAATTTTGAAATGAGTGATTAGTTTATGTAAGTTACTCTCTGCTGCTCCTTCTAGTGAACCTGCTAGTTTTAGTTATGTTTGACCTCAGTCTGTTTGTTGATTAATGGATGGTTTTCTTTTCTTTTCTGTTCTCTTGAGGTTGCTCTTTGTATATTTCACTAATGGAACTGGTGCACATTCTCTTCTTATAGGGTCACTTCAAAGAGCTCTTACTAGAGCATGCACCACCTCCTCCTGCCCTTGCTGAATTCGCCATTGCGAATTTGATCAAGATGGGTTTCCCACAAAGAGCAGCAGAAGGTTCGATAGCAATCTGCTCCTGCCACAGAGAAGCGAAAGTAGGCGAAGGGTATATATGTCCAAGATGCAAAGCCCGTGTATGTGAACTGCCCACAGAATGTCGTTTCTGTGGATTGACACTTGTTTCATCACCCCATCTAGCTAGATCTTATCATCATCTTTTCCCAATCGAGCCATTCACCGAGGTATCTGCACGTCAATTGGAATTGAGCAGAGTAGCTTCAAAAACTTGCTTCGGTTGTCGTGAGAGCCTTCTCACTCCTGGTAAGTTATGCTAATACAAGTGATCTATATTTAATGTTATCTGCTGAACTTGGAAATCAGTATATGTAGATAGTTTTTGGCAGCAGACTCGAGTAGTGGGTTACTTGAGCAAGAAACTAGCAGAGTAGATCATGCACGATCGAAGTTGGTTGTATGTCAGATGTGTGAGCTATTTTCCTGGTGCTGTCACTTGGGGACTATAAACTCTGCTGCTGGCACTACAGTTACTTTTGAGTTTGTAATGTCGATAACTGTTTCTTGGTTTGCTGAAATAGTTACATGAACAGAATAGTGTAGTCTTCTATGAAGTGCATTGTGTTTCCCTCAATACTTCTCATATTTCAGATGTCAGTAAATAGACTTGCTTTGTAAAAGTTTTAAGCTTGCTGGTATGGTGGTCCTATCGCAGGTACTAACAAGGCTGGCCCTTGTGCGGCTTGTACAAAGTGCAAGCAGTATTTCTGCCTTGATTGCGACATTTATATTCACGAGAGCTTGCACAACTGCCCTGGCTGCGAGAGCCGAAGAATTACCCCAGCGGCTGCCTCTGTTACTATGAGTTGATAAACTTGTGCATTTTTCCATTCCAGAAGTTCCAGTTGTAGAGAGTTCTGGATACATTGAAAAGGTAGAGTTGGAAGGTAACTTGGTCGAATCCAGGCACAGAATTTGTCCTTCTATTGATGCTTTCTTCTATATGAAAAGAAAATAACTATTCTTTGGTATACAAGTAAAGGGTGTTTGTTTTAGTTAGCAGTGTCTTTTTGGTTTGGACTTGAAGACCCTGTATTGCTTTCAACCAATGTGCACTATCTTCTTCGATTACTTTGCTATAGATTGGTGGTGGAGCCATGGAATACCCACTACCAGTCTACCTCCCAACGGTCGTCGCAGCCACAAAGAATGGTTGGAGTGAAACCAATAATGACCAATTCTGTCTTAGTTTCCTTTATTATTTGCCCCACTCAAACGTTCAACAACGACCCACGTTTTACTTCACCCTTACCACAATAAAGCAGAAAAAAACACTCTACATTCCGTTGTTGCCACTGCCACACAGAAACAGCCGAAAGAACTCGTCTTTCCTTCCATTATTAAAGAAAACTGGCCAAACCCAAAACTCGTCTTTTTGTTATCTATCTCCCCTTCTCTATATCTTTAATCTTTAGTGATCAATCAATCAAGTGACTCACCGAAGTTGAGCCATGGAAGAGGTGGTAGTAGAGAAGGAGCATATTCAATCAAATCAACCAAGTGCTCTGATTCCTCAGCTGGAATCGCCCGTGGAACAGAAGCAGCAGCAGCAGCAGCAGCAGAGTTCATCGCCGGAGTCTGATGAAGTAGTTGTTGGTGGCGCAGGAGAATTGAGCAAAAGCGACGGCGGCAACAACATCCCCGTTCTTGTTCCTCTCCAAGTTCCCAAGGCTTTCAAGTACCCAGAAAGGTATATCATCATCTTCTTCCCACCCCTGCAGTTATGCTTTTTCTTTTGGGAGAACGTTTTATAGTTCTTGTTCTGGATCAAGCTTTTCATTTTTCACTATTCTCAGATCCTTAAAGTTCCAGTTGTTATCACAGCTCCCTGTGTACTTTGCAGTTAGATTTTACAATGATCTATCCTCGCTCTGTTATACTTATTTTCATGGTGGGTGGGGCTAACTTACAGCTGACTATTACTGATTTGTTTTAACTTTTGTTCATCTTCAAAATGGGTTCATAGATAACTGTTATGTGCCGTTGCCGCCGAACGGAAGAGTAACGTTGGGGTTTGATTTCCAGGTACCGTAGTCCGACTGATGCGATGGTTTCTCCGATCACGAGAGGCCTTATGGGAAGGAGAAGAAGGGGTGGTGGCGAAGGAGCACCACTCCCGTTGCCGCCCGTCAGCACAAATCTGTCACAAAAGGTATTATTGGCTGATAGAAACCCATTAAGGAAACCTACTATGAGAATTGCTATCATTCTACTCCATAGTCTAATTGTTTGTGCTGCCAAAACATTGCAGCTCCAGGCGGCAGAGTAAAGTGCAGAGCTTCAAGTGGATTCCCCTTCCGTACTAATGGTGGTTTATAATTTCGCCTACATACGGGTTGTAAATTGTTGTAATATCTCTGTTGTGCTCCTACTTTTGGTTGATGGGTTTCATTTATCCCTTTTCAAGTCTAGGTTTGGCAGCTTGTCTGTTTAGTTCTTGCAACCTAGCTCTATATTGCACCTCCTCCTAGAAATGTATAAACTCTTATGGTTACCTACATTGGTGTGACAAACACAATCATAGAGTAAGAATAATTATGTTCTTAATAAGGACAAAGTGATTAATAAGAGTGTCTGGTAAAATTCTATGACGACTACTTCCACATTGATATTCGATTTATTGGTCGCGAGAAGAACAACATCGTCGACTTAGTTGCTGTAAAGCCTCCTTGATTTGTTCCCTACTAACACGTTCGGTTTTAGACTTGTTGCTTTGAATGTTTGAACGTAACAGAGAAGTTGAGAAGTGAGGAGTCAACAAGAGAAAGCCCAACTCGGTCAGTCAACACTCAACAATCAACGATAAGGAATCTGCGTTCGCGGAAGTAAATCGTTTTGGACTAATCATATTCGGCCGTCTAATTTACCTGCAAAATACGTACACCCGCAGAGAAAAGACGCTCCAACCTCAATTCAAATCTCCTTCACTTCAATCACTCCAAACGAACTTGATACCACTGGAGTGAGCCAACGTCTCCATCGATCTGAAGCTCGCATGCCGAACCCACCAAGAACGAAACAGCATCGTCAATGGCCTCGAACCTAGCTAGGTCCGGCGGCAAGCTCTTCACCGGCCAGTTCTCCAAATAGCACTTTAGTTTCCCCTTGAGCTCTTCTTCGCTAACAAATGTCTCATCCTCCCCTGGCTCCAGAAACACGTACGTGTCCGTCTTATCGTGGATCATTCTCCTCCTTCTGCCCGCCCATACCTTTACCGAATTCCTCGGAAGATTCAGACAATGAACAGAGTATGATAATTTGGGGGAAAGGCATGAATTACTACAATCTGCCGCCTTTTGGAAAGATGGTTTAATCTTCGCCGTCGGATTGTATTGCTCCCCTGAAGCACCGGTCCCCTGCAAAAAAAAAAAAAAAGACAATGGTATTTTGAGTATTGAGACAAAGATGTGAAATTTTATGTAGAAGAAGGGGATGGTATGAGGAAAGGGGAAGTAGAACCGCATTGGCCGGCTGGCGGACATGTTGCAGCGAAGAGGCGGAGGCGGCGAACATGACGGCGGAGGCGATGGACTGAAAATAAAAACGGCTGGGGCGAGGGAGGGAACGGAAAGGAAGGTGTAGTTTTGTTATCGAAGGCGAGTTTCGGATAAGGCTGTTCTGGGCAAGTACTTTTTTAATGGGTAGTTGACGGTGAGCTTTCACGGGCCTGACCAGTTCACAATTCTAGTCTTGGGCCCGGAGCAGACCGGCAGTACCCTCTGGACTCCCCGGCCCGGCCTTCTTGTTTTAACCGCTCAGTTGCTACTCGGTCGTAGGGTGATGTGTTAGTTAGATTTAGGGTGAGCGGATCTAATCAACAAACTGGTTATGTATAATTTTTCTCAACGTGTTATAAACTTTTATACTTCAAATTCAAATTCACATTTTTGTACGAAAAATGAGGTTAATCATGCTCTTCAAAAATGAAATTGTACAAACCATGATGATAATATTTGGTAGTACATAAGATTTTATCATGGTAACATGAAATTGTACAATGATAATATAAATATATCATAATGTAACATGATTGTAGTAATAGTAGAATTATACGAACCAACATTTACCATATTTCACCATCGTCGTCCCCCAGTTACCACCAATACTAAATTGATTTTTATTGTAGTTTTATTTTAATTGTCAATGTTCGTACTTTTTATTTTTATTTTATAAATTTTCAAAAAACACATACCACTTTGTTCATGGAGGTATTTGAAATCTTCTTAATATATGTATAATCCATATAGTTTTTTTTTATCCACGGTTGGTAATTGGAATAAGTTATGATCAATAATTTTATGTAGAAAAGGAAAAGTCCAAAAGAAATACTTATCCAAAAATTTAAAAGAAAATCATCAAGATGTTTTGATTGTGTCTTTTTTTAATCTAAGTGTACCATCATTATGCAAAATTTACTTTTTGTGTTTAGCATTCTTTTCATTTTTGGGGGTTTGATATGTTTTTGTTTGTTTGGCCTATTTAAAGGCTTACACATGAGTTTTAGAGGAGATATTGGTTTTATTCTTGGTTCATTGAGTTTTTAGCTTGTGAATTGTTCTGCTTTGTATCAATCGAGTATTCCTCTTGATTGTAGACAAACTTCTACCCTATATTGATAGAGCCTTTTCGCAGGTGTGAGATAACACTTCAATTTCGCCTATCCCTATCTCTAGTTATAGTGAATGTCGATTCATGTAAATTTCATAATGTATACTTAAAATACCATAATCGTACCAAATTTATTACTCATCGTATTCCAAAAAAATCATGTAAGTTAGATTTTCACCAACAAAATCAGTTCAAATTAGATTGAATATCCACAAAGATTTGTTTATTTTACCATCCGTACACTTCACTCATTATTTCTACTCTTGCCAATCGCAATCTCTCACCGCTGGAGTGTTTACCCTAAAAAACTTCGGCTGCGAGTGCCCACTTCGCAATTCCAACCGGAGTCTTGGTAGATGAAGAGTCGCACTTAAGTCCCCACAGCCAGATTCACAATTTCAAAGCTGTAAGGAGGAAACTGGAAAGGCGCCCTAGTAATTTATAGGCAACAAAAGGCAGACGTTTTATATATACAACTTAAAACGATTCATTCATTCATTCACTCAATCAACACTCGAGTACTCAATACACAAAAGCCTAAATTACCCGGGGGAAAAAAAAAATTATGGGGGGCGGAGAAATCAGTGGAGAAGTGATAGGGATAGACCTAGGCACCACCTTCTCCTGCGTCGCCGTCGCTCGAAAGGGTCACGCCGTCGAAATCATAACCAACGATCAAGGCAATCGAACCACCCCTTCTTATGTAGCTTTCTCACCTCCCGCCGCCGGTTATACCGAACGTCTCATCGGCGAATCCGCCAAGAATCAGGCTGTACGCAACCCCCGACGAACAATCTTGGACCTCAAACGTCTCATCGGGAAAAAGTTCGACGACCCAGAAGTCCAGAACGATCTCAAGTACTTGCCCTACCCCGTCGTCAACAGGGACGGAAAGCCTTGCGTCGAAGTCGAAGTTAATGGCGAGCTGAAAACCTTTACCGCGGAAGAAATAAGCGCCATGGTGCTGCTGAAAATGAAGGAGACCGCGGAATCGTACCTTGGGAAGGAAGTAACCAAGGCCGTGGTCACCGTCCCTGCCTACTTCAACGACTCCCAGAGGCAAGCGACCAAAGACGCTGGCATCATCGCCGGGCTCAACGTTGTACGGATAATCAACGAGCCCACGGCCGCTGCCCTAGCTTATGGTGTGAAACAAGATCCTGACACAAAGAGGAATATTCTCGTTTACGATTTAGGTGGCGGGACGTTCGACGTCAGCGTTTTGGAGATCAACAACGGCATATTTCAGGTACGGGCCACAGGGGGTGACACGCATCTCGGTGGTCGAGATTTCGACCAGAATGTAATAGACTACTTTGTCGATCGGATTAGGAAAAGGTTCGCAAAAGATGTTAGTGAAGACGACCCGAAAGCTATGGCGAAGCTGCGTAGGGAATGCGAGAGGGCGAAAAAGGTACTGAGCACTCAGACACAAACTACGGTGGAGATTGATTCCCTGATACAAGGGATGGACGACTTCTCCGAGCCATTCACGAGAGCGACGTTCGAGGATTTGAACATGAATCTCTTCAAGAGGACACTGGACGTGGTGAAGTCGACGCTGGTCGATGCAAAGCTGGACAAGGACGAGATCGACGAGATCGTGTTGATTGGTGGAAGCACGAGAATTCCCCGGGTGAGGGAGATGTTGAAGAAGGCGTTCGATGGGAAGGAGCCGAGCAAAGGGATCAATCCCGACGAAGCTGTGGCTTATGGTGCAGCTGTCTATGGAGCCAGTCTCAATGGCGACCAAGCCGGTAATCATGTTATGTTCCTCACAATTTCATGTTTAGGGTTCCATTTCTTTCAACAAATAACTAATTTGCTGATACAATAACTACGTGTTATATCTATATTTGGTATTGTACGTACAGGTGTTATTCTATTTGATGTCACTCCCTTGAGTTTGGGGATCAGAATCCTAAACAATCTGATGCATGTAGTGGTGCCCAGAAATACTGTCATTCCTACAAAGAAGTCGCGCGCAGGATTCGTACCCGCCAAACCTGTTCATGGACAGCGAACTAGTGTGTCTATTCAGGTTATAGTTTTTTTATCAAATCTATACGCATACATATTGTAACCGGTTTTGCTGGCTATCTATGTGAATAATCTACGATTTCATTTTCCAGATATTCCAAGGTGAAAGAGCCCTGACCAATGACTGCCTTCTGCTCGGAAGCTTTACGTTGACAGGCGTTCCATCGGGACGAAGGTATGTATAGCTAGGTAGAATATCTGTTGCCATAATCACAACAACATTTATAACTGCATATGTATATATGCAACCACAGGGGAGAAGGAGAACCATCTATTGAGGTGACATTTGAAGTTGACGCGGATGGAATCTTGAGCGTGACGGCCAAGTATGGAGCAACCGGCGGCGGGAATTCTAAAACCCTCACCATCGACAGCTACACAAGGAATTTGAGTTCGAGGGAGATCGAGAGGATGATCAGAGAAGGGAGGGAGATGGCCGAGCAAGACAAGAAGGAGAGGACACGTGTTAACGCGAGGAACCGATTGGAGAGGCACATTCATGATCTGAAGGAGGCATTGGCTGATGACAAGCTTGATGATCACCTGGAAGATGGTATCAAGACCGCGGCGGCGAAGAGGGCGTTGAGAGAAGTTTCGGAGTGGTTTGGTAACAACAAGAGTACTGCATGCGCGCAAGAGTACGAGGATAGAAGTCAGAAGTTGGAAGACTTGTTTAGCCAAGTTTTCTCTGATGGTCAAGCCTCGTTACGTTAGAGTTGCAGGAGGTTGCATCTGGCTGAGTAATGAATGAAGTTAAGTCATATATTTATGCACGAGTTTTGCTTTCTTTTTAGTCTGCAAGAACATCTTTAGTTTGACCTCTAAGCTTCCGACTGTCCCTTTTAGTGATCATTGATGCTTGCGGTTTAAGTAAAGAGTTTATGGATGGACTGGCGTTGGAAACTCTCGAATTTCTATGGTATCTATCTATCAAAATTTATGCAAAATAGACTTGTCTAAATTTATATTGTTTGTTTAATATGTATTTAAATTTCTTACATTTCAAGAACAAAAAAGGGGGATTCTTGCATTAATTGCTAAAAATATACATATAACCTTAAAGTCAATATTATTGATTGTTGTTGTTGATATATAAAAGATTGGTTACACAAAGAAGGGACTTGGAGACCAAGAGGTGATTCTGAAGTGGTGATTCGTCGGCTTCGCTAGGGCTTTTTTTCAGATTCCCTCGGGGGTCCGGTGCTACGTGATTGCTTCCAGCTCCTGTCTTCAGTTTCTATTTCCTTAGAGTTTAGGGCAGTTCCTAGAACTGCTTTCGGGGCTGCCCATAGAGTGGCGCTGAAAGCCCTGTTACTTTCTCCTCTTGAGATCGGTTCCTTCGTCTTTGTAGGGTGGCTTTACTGATATATTGGTTTGGGAGGGTTTTGGGGTAGATTGTTTAGTTTTTTCTCTCTTGACATTTCTTGGAAAAAAAAAAATATATATAAAAGATTGGTTGGGGATAGTATTCATGAAATAGTTTAGAATTAAAATTTTAACCCGTCAAGAGGCTATTCCCCAGTATATCCTTATGTTCCACAGTCAAGGGAACTCTCCTATCCCAATCCCCGATCTGTCCTTTTTTTTTTTTGGTGAAAACCCCGATCTGTCCTTTAGGTACACGGTCGTGGAACTGATCCTTCAGCCGGAGATTTCGATCCATTCTGGCTTCCACGAGAATGACTTTGGGTCACTCTTTAGGCTTGCATCAGTCCCTCCTCGTTGGAGAAACTTTGCCCTCAAAGCTTGTTTGTTCCTGCAAGAGGTACCATCACCGGAATTTCCCAACCGAGTTTAATTAGAGCATTCATTAGGGTTGGGAAAATAGACCAGACCGTTAGAAAAACTGTAGTCCAGACCGGACCGCACAGTTTGGTTCGGATCGTAGACCGTTAAGTATGGTATGGTCTGGTCCATGGTTTGTATTATATGATGTTTCGATCTCTTGGTCTGGTCTGGTCTAGACC